TCTAGGAAAGGAAGAGAAAATCATTGCCACAAGGAAAGGTCATCACAAAGGCATGTCACAAAATATGTGAAAATTGAGTGCGACTTCATATTTTAATAGAAATTAGAGAACGTGAAAGAATAAAAGAACGTAAACCATCAGAAAAATTGAGCAATGACAGAACTCAAAAGACATCAAAATAGGAAAAGGAAAAGTAAACTAGAAGGAACATTAGAGCTGAAAACAAAAACAAAACAAACACAAAAGCATATGCCTTATGAGAAAAAACAAAAACAAAAATGATTTGAGCTGAGTGCTGGTTTTACAGGGTTATTCTATTTGTGAAGATGATATAACAACATATGCTATGAACTTCTTATATTTAGTAAAAAACTTAGTCAAAAAGTTAAATGATGAAATGAAGGAAGAGATAAAAGAGATTCAAGAGAAAGTTGAAGTCAATGTTTTATGTTAGAAAACCGTGGTATGTATCTACATTCTAGTGAAACTTTTCTCATGCCTCCGATGACTTTCTAAGTTCAGGGGACACTTTGTGAGACTTGTAACCCTCCTTTCTATGCTGTCTACCTGCTTTCCCTCCTAACCCTCCTAATTATGGCTTATTAATCTGCTTAGTGGTTTTTCTGACCCTGCTAGCTTCTTAAGTACTCAAATTTCTGGGCTCCACACTTAGCAATTTTCTCTTTTTACTCATATTCTCTTCCGCGGCAATCGTATCATGCCTGAAGATTTCTACTTCCACACACATATGGTTAATTATCAAAACATATGTCTACCTTAGATCTCTCTATATCCAACTGTTATAGAGATACCTCCATTGAATATCCAGTTGTTCCCCTCCCTGGAAAATTTGCTCCCTAGCCAGCCCTTCTGATCCCCAAGAAGGTGTTAGTTAGTTAGCTAGGTTTAAGCAGGGAGAATGAGGGATATAGTTAGGCTATGTTGGACTGGCCTGGTCCAAGCTGACCTGAGCTATTATGGGAATGGGGCTGATCAAGACTTTGTAGGTGGGTTGTTTTGCAAACAGTTAATTAAGACCCTGGGAGATTTCCAAGCAGCAGGTGATGTTCCCCAAAGTTATATATAAAACCCTAAACTGCACTTTTCATGGGGCCTCTGTCATTAGGATGGGATCTGCCTCTGTCATTAGGGTGGGATCTTGCTAAAACTTTACATTTGTCAATTATTTCAGTGGCTACCTCAAGTCACCATGCCACTCTAACAAAGATAAGCATTCATATCCTCTTTTAGATAGATCACTTTAGTTTTTTGTTATCTTAAGAAAAATCTTTCAACATTCCTATACTTTTTACATCCTTTCCCATATTTTTTCCTTAGAGATTCTATTTCTTGATCAAATACAGAATATTGCTGTCTTTATTTTGTCACTATTCAGTCACTTTTTAATCTCCTATCTTATTCATCCCTCTACCAAAACTGCCCTCTGTGTAGCATTGATATTAACCATCATTTTAAAACATTTTTTCCTTTTGTAGGTGTAACTTTGATTTTGCTCTAAACTAATTTACCTTACACCAAATCTTTCTCCCTTCACTCTCTTATAGGTGAAATGCTATATGCCTCTGGCCAAAAAAGCCATTTGAGAGAGAGCAGTGAAAAGACTTTGTGCAGGCATACTTGTGAGAAACTGAGGCAGAATCCCATGTGGCCAGGTTAGTTGTAGACCTAACATGACCAAAGCTTTGGCTGGAATAGAATTTCCAGACTGCATTAAGGAATTAAGGTTGACTTTATAAGGCCAGTGAAAAAGCCCTTTGGAAAACTTGCCAGATACCCATCAGTAACTTTTCCTGATCTGTGGTAAGTGACAAAGGTCACTTGCTGACGGGTCTGGGAATGGAGTAACCTTTCCTGATCTGTGGCATATGATGAAGGTCACTTGCTGAGGAGTCCAGGAATAGTAATGTGCTAGAGGACCTCAAGAGAAGAGGAATTTACCCAATGCATACAGGTATCTAATGGCACAGATGAAACCTGGGCTCATGAAAGGCTTTTGAGAAGTCCAGCCTGAGAATTCCAGCAAAACCCCCTGACTTAAGGCCTACATGGGAGCAGAGGTTTGCACACAAATTCCTGTATGCCCAAGAAGTTTCTCTATGCTTTGCTTAAAGATTCGAAGTAACTGCCTCCAAATGGCATGGTCAGTAGAACAGATATTCAAATCATCTCTTTCCCCGTAGGCTCAGGCTTCATCAGATAAGAACAAAGAAAGTAATAACTGACAACATGTTCTTCATTAAGTTATGTTAAACTGGGTTATGTTGAAAGAGTTATGCTTAAAGGTGTATGTTGGGTGGATTATCAGATTACCAGGGAGGAACTACTTACAGGGCGGATGGTGTAAGATGTTTAAATGGATTAATGAAGTCATTGATGCCCAGTGCCTACGTGCAGAGGGATTGTCATGAATGTTAATGAGGTCATTGCTGTATAGTGTTCATGCCCAAGATTGCCTATATAAACAGCAAATAAAGAAGGATTGCCATTTTGCCTGAGTGAGCAGATGGTCACCTTTATTTAAAACACAATTTCAACAAGCGCGCTTATTCTCTGCAACATTGCTTTTCCATGAGACCCTTATGGCAACACTCTGCTTATATTGATACTGCTTAGACATTCAACTGGCACCTAAAGGACATTTTCCAAGTTATTTTGGCAAAGTGAGAATGGTGAGAAGGAAGAAAAACAAGAGAAGGAATAAAGCAGATGGGGGCGGGGCTCCTTCAGAGGAGACCACTGCTTTTCTCTCTACCCCCAGTTCAAAATCCAATCAATTTTGTTAATGCCCTCTCCTGGCTCCAGACTCCATCTTTCAAATAACTTTAAAGGGAAATGAAAAAGGTAAAACTGAGAAAAACTGAGCACTGGTTAGGTTCTCACAAAAACCCATTTTGATTCTACAGCTTTCTCTTGTTAAGGGCTTAGTATTTCTTCTTAATCAGTGGGAAGTAAAATCGAAATTTTCTTTTCATTCTGCTTCATCTTCAACATCTGAGAAAATGCTCAGTTATATAAACTGTCCCGCTGCAAAGCTTCTCACGTCAGTCCCCCACTGCCTTTTCTTTGCTATTTCAACAACAGTATTAAGTGCCTTCATGAGCTCTCACACTCTCAGAACAGCCTCCTTGAATTTCTGACTTTCATCTCTCCCTGTTTGAATCAATCCTAAATGTTAATATTTGCCAATCAAATACTCCACTCAAAACTCCTTCTTGGTCTCCATGTTGTCTTTAGAAATAACGCAGAACTCCAAATCCTCCACCAATTTGTCCCAGCTTTATCTCCTGCTGTTCTCTAACCAACCACACAAGGTCTGCAGGGCTCTCCTAAACGTGCCTGCCTCTGAGCTTTTTAATCAAGATATTTTCCTTGTCTAGAAAGACTTGTAACTTTCATTCCTTCATGTAAAATTGCATAAAGACTTCAGATGATGTTTGGGAACAAATACCTTACTGCTCTTGTTATCACATGGTTACACTTTCCTCTTACAGATTGTTTCAAAATATGCCATATTTGATATTTAAACCTTTATGTGAGATTTCAATTACCTTCAACTAATTGAATTGGATTATAATAATGTTAAATCATTCAAAGGTATGGGCATGACAAAAATTTCAATCATGTTTAATATTTAGATAATTATGTGAGACCAAATATTCAATATTGTGCATATGAAGCTGAGTTACACAAACTTCCAGTTCTGTTAATGATAACATATCTTGTATACAGATGATTCTTCCACAGATCATAACTAAGTGAATTATATATACATAAGTATATTTTTAAAAACAACTATTTGAAAGCACTGTAGATCAATTAAATGTAGACAAAGATTAGAGAATTTTTCACTTGAGGAAGAACATGAAAAAAACTCAAGTAGAAAGCAAGAGATTTTATGATCTTGGAAAGTCACAGAGCAAAGTTTTAAAGTATCAAATTAACTGAAAATTAAAGGGAGTTATCCATATACTAAAGTATGCATCTAGAATCTGTGCATCAATTATTTGCCAAGCTTTTGACTGACAGCTGAACTGTGTGTGCACACAGACCATAAAATGCAGTGACGGGAATGCTGAAAGGGCTGGAGGTTTCACATTGCAAGGGACTCTTGAGTTTGACTCTAACCAAGTAAAACACCTTCTAGAACAAAAAATCAACCCTCTTCAATAGGTAGTAGAATCCATAATCTTGATAATATGTAATCTGTAATGTACAGTACACAACAAATAGTAACCATGCCAAGGAACAAAATATGATTCCTAGTCAAGAGAAAAATTGTCAAGGCAAACTAAGCCTGAGATGACCCGGATGTTAGAAAATATATTCTATGACTTAAGGTAAAATATAGCCAAAATAAATAACAGGTGAACACAGTATAGAAATGGAAAATGTAAGAAAGATCTACAACTAAAAAGTGCTATATGTGAACATTAATTGGGTGAGGTAAGTGTACTGGAGATAACAGGAGAAAGAATTTGTGAATTTGAAAATAAACCAATGGAATTTATCCAATAAGTCAGTTTGAAATCTTCTCTCCTTTTGTACTCCCTACTTCACCTGGCTGGAAGGAAGTAACCACAGAATCAAAACGTCTTTGCATGTCCTTAGTAAAATACTACACATAAGTTTTCGTTTATTTAAATAAAATACTATTTGTATATTTCAGTTGTTCAATTAGTAAAATAACATTTTTACTAATTTAACCAAACAGAACATAGTTTTATACTAAGACATGTTTAAGTGAGCAAATGAAGCCAATAAGATTGTTCAGGGGAATGGAGACATAGAGAATTAGCTGGTTCACGGATTTTATAGTTGAAAAGATTTTAAACGCCCAGAGAGTTTATTTCTCTGATTCAACCAAACTGAATTAACATATCACAATGCTTTTAATCATTCTAGAGAATAAATGCCAGTCTTTCTTTCAAAACATAGTTGTTTTAAGCATTACTTTTATTGATACCAAGAAATAATCTTACCTCCAAATGATATCCAACTCTGATAAAGGTGCAAATGGGGTCAAAAGCTCCAGTACCACAGGTCAAAAGGTGTGTCCTGTTATAGTGATGCAAAACCCGAACATAATTCGCACATTCACTCTAATGCAGGGAAAAAAAAAGACATTTATTAGTATCTAAAATTGAGCCCTTTTTTGAATTTTGTTTTTCCTAACCCTAGAAATCTCATGTCTTAGCATGTATCTCCTGTGGGGGGTGGAAACGATAATAGATGAAAAGAAGGCACAACCAGGGAAAAGGAAACAGGGGCGACCAAAACACCTTCTAGCTAGCAGTGATGTGTGAACTACAGTTTATAATGGGAATGCGTCATTTTTTTATATATGTGTATTCTAGTTCACAATTGAGAAATAAAGAAAAAAAGCACCATTCAGAAATTTGTCAAGTGTAAAGATTTGCATGGCAATATGTTCCACTAAGTAATTAAGTTATTCCCAATGCTGTTTTTTTTTTTTAAAGCACAGTATAAACAATGAATCAGCAGAAAGTCAGAAAACCAACAATTTTAAAAAGCTTCGTTATTCATAAGAAAGCATATGCAGACTTTAGATCATTACAGAATTTTGACACTTGGGAAAATAAGTGTGATATCGTCAGATTCACAATTTACATAAAGCACTTTTCAGAGAAAAATTTCAAGCACAGAGGAAGCTAACCATAAAAATAACATTATTTTATAAAAATACTGTGAGGTTACTATTACTTTAAGAAAATAGCAATAGCCCAGATATAAATATTTAGTTATTTGATGAGCTGTCTTGTCTCTATTGCAACTACTCACATCAGCCCTATATAATTCAAAAACAATTTTGCATGGCTGTGTTCTAATAAAACTTTATTTATAAAAATAGGCCTAAGTGCTCTAGTTTGTCAACACTGCTATTCAACTATAAACTTCCTGACTATGGAATCTTTATTTTTGGCATCTTCACATTCTCCAGTTAATTAAACATAGTACCTAATACATACGACATGCTGAACAAATTTCTAATACATCAGTCTCTTGGTAAGTTTTAGGGCCAGTATGCTGAACGGAAAAAAAAAAAGGAGAAAAGTTTATATTTGTTTCCAAACCAACTTGACTAAATTCATTCTAGGAAATGCTCTCTTAGCAAATTAGGTATTGCGATTTACTCAAAAGTATTTCATAAAAGAAATACTAAACACTTCTAATATTAAATATTACTTTGAAACCAATATATGCAATTATTAGTAAATGTAATGTTTTATAAGAACAGGTTGTGACTTCAACTCTTTAAATAAGTCTGTCACCAGGAGACCAAAGGCCAGGAGTACCACTTCATTATAAGTGATTCAGGAAATAGTGTGCTCTGGGCAAGAACAAGGTCTATGTTACTGAACTGATTATCTAGCAGGGGTCCTCAAACTTTTTACACAGGGGGCCAGTTCACTGGCCCATTGGAGGTCTGGACTGTGGGCCCTGGCACAAGTTGGCTGCTAAGCAGGACAGGTAGTGGCGGCAAAAACACCTGGCGGGCCAGATAAATGTCCTAGGTGGGCTGCATGTGGCCCGCAGGTTGTAGTTTGAGGATGCCTGATCTAGGGCAAACCAATGTATCTATTTCTTCAATTTCCTGCCTACATAACATTTTCTTCTGATCATTCAGGCATAGTAAAAATATCTGTTCTCAAATTGCTGTGAGCACCTGCTCTTCCTCTCTGGACACACAGTCACATCTTGGAGTGAGCCAATTAGACCACATTTTGGCTCATTTGAGCTTAGATTGACATGGCCTAAGATTTTGTTCAATTAGTCAGCATCACATTATGGGCTAAGGCAGCAAGAATGTGTTGACTCACATTTTGGCTGTGCCCCAGTTGCTACAGAGAATCAAGAGTTGGTATAATGCATGTTAGTCTTTTATGTTGTATTTTTTAATTCAGTAAGAAGAAAAAAGGATAAATTTCCTTTCAAGGGCAGATATGAAGCTTTTCCTCCAAGATATGTGTTGTGTCACCAGAGCAGCCAGCCCCTCCTGGATGCGGAAGTCCTATCTGTGTGGGTTTCGTGTGTTAGGGGCTGTGTCGGGGTGCTGCTGATCCACCCCCACACTGCAGGGAAACGATGGGAAAAGGGAATATTGTTTTAACACATTAACTGCCACGTGACTTATGACCTATTCAAGTGTTCACGTTACATTTTATATTACTAATTTTCAAGTTACCTTTATATCAATCTATGTCTTAGGAATGTTTTGAAGTTTTATTCTGTTTTCATAATCAAACACCATGGCCAGTGCATGTGTTAAGTAGGGGAGACCATAGAAACATTTGGAATAGGTAAAACATGTTTACTCCTCTCAAAAGTTTCATTCCCTTCTTTTCTTTTTTGTTATAATTTGCTAATCAAAGTGAAGTGAAATCCCACAAAGAATGTGCTTAACTTTTCCTGGAATTAAAATAAATTACCCAGAATTATTTTTCTCTCAAAAACACAAGAAGTGAGCATTAGGATAAGGAATGTACAAACCCAAGTTGATTCAAATCCAATAAAACCACATAAAAACCTAGATCTGGATGACACTTTGGCTTCTTATTGACTCTACATAATTTTATATAATTACATGGATGTAGGTCACTACAAAAGTTTTGAGACAGATTGTTAAGGCCCACTGTTTCACTTCTAAGAAACACAATCTTTGGTGTCCTTTCTGACTCACAGGCAAGTTTCCACTTATTAGCTAATACGCATTACTAGGAGGGCTTTGCTGGTTTCTGTCTCATGGATTTTACATTTCTCGATTTTCATATATCTTAAAACTTGCGCGATGATCCACAGATATCTTCTACATGAACCAAATTGCATAGGTACTTTCTTAAAAGCCAATAACAGCTTCAGTCTTCTGGGGCTGAACAGTGATATACAATTGATGATTTAATTTACAATGAATAATACTCACTGCGTCTTTTCCTTTCATTATGCATTCTTCTACTTTGAGAGCTGTGCTAGGCCAGAGTATCTGAAATAGAAGATAATGTCCTATCAGGGCAACTGCATCGGAAAGTAAACCACATTGAAAAATCACTGCATTTTCTACAATTCATTTCCATTGTGTTCTGTTTTCTAGGAAAAGACTGCATCATCTTTACAAAATTATTTGCATAATTTAGAAACTTATCTCTGAGCTTTAACTTTATGCTAAATATCCCCCCTCCCCCAACATATTGAAGGCTTGGCCCAGTCAAGGCCACTGGCACCATCACCAGCCCTTCCTCATATTCAACCAGATTGTTTTCCCCTCCAATCCAGGCACCCCCTCGAGTTTTCTTTGTATTTTTACCACTTAGCACAGAATCTGGTGTGTGGTGGGCTATCAGTGACGTTTGCTGTTTGGAAGGATTAAAAGATGAATGACTTTTAACATACTGATTTATAATGTATCATCCAGTGATATATCACACTACAACTTCGATTTTAAAGTACATGTTTAACTCAACCAGTTTCCAGCTGGATTTCAGAGAGTTTAATTACATTTTATTTGTTAATTTCTTCCTTGAAGAGAGACTCCGTGAAGTATTTTTCACCTGCAGTAGGACCTAGCGCTTTGCTGAGCCCAGACAGAAACTGATAAATACTTATTATCTGGATCCACATATCTCTGATGGTGGCATTTGTTTCTTTTCTCTGATTCCCTTCGTTCTTCTTTTTAAACTTTAGGGTCAATTATACCACGAGCCAGACTTGTGCAAAGAACTCTATTTTCTTTTTCTTTTGTTTTTGTTAAGTGCAGTGGTTTCTCATACCAATAATCTGTGATTCGTTGTCACCAACAGTCTTTGAAAGTCTCTCTTGTTTTATTCGGGCATTTTTTTCATCCCCCACTCCGGGATCTCTTTCCACCCCCTTGAGAGGCAAGTATTACATCCTGTTACTAGGCATTTTGTTTTTATATATTCTTACAAAGTGTATACTATGACTTTGTGCACATATTTCTAATTTAAGTAAATATTATGGAATTTTATATCTCAGCTATTATTTCTTTTTAACTAAGGATTAGGTTAAAGATTTAAGATCCCTCCGTAGACCCATGTTCACATACAGTCTACTGTCCTACTGCTTTGCCATGCTCAGGGGATAGCTCCCCCCATTTTCTTGTCTACTCTCCCAGTCATGGATACCCAAATTGCCTCTCAGCCTCCACCACATCAAACACTGTCATCTCTCCTCTCTGTACACAGCGTTTTTAGATCTCTGTAAGAATATCGTATAAAGCCAAGAGCAGAACTGCTGGGTCCTAGGTAAGAATATATGGGACATGCAAGTGTCTGTCACACTGCTCTCCAGAAGGGCAGTGTCTAACCAGCAATCACCCATCTTCATCTGGCACTTCCAACTTTTCTATTTTTGTGTGTGTGTGGCTTAACACTTTTAGTGAAATATCTCAGTTAATCCTTACCACAACTTTATCAAAGAGCTGATATTATCTAGAGGATTTCATTCAAAAAATGTATATTTCTCCGTGCAAACCCACAGAGCAGTAGATCTATGTGTGGAAGCAAAGGAGTGTGACTCATTTGAGTAACTGGGGTAACAGGCAATCGCCCTCACGGTGCCTGTGCCTCAAGAACTTCAATCTCCTACTTAAAATAGTTTATTCACACTTGGATCAATCACCCTCTCCCACCAAACTACAACATTCATCCTCCTTTCTTAGGCCAGAATTCCATGGGAGCCCCATGTTATACTAACATCAATTTCATGGGCTCTGCTGGTCAGATGATAATGGATTTTTATCTTTGAAAGATGTTGATTCTCATCTAAACACCCACAGTTTTTACTTTGTTCTGTTTTTCTTTTTATTTTCTTCTGTTATTTTTAGGCAGAATCTTGCTTTATCACCCTTGGTACAGCGTCATAGACTTTACTTTGTTGCCTACATTGAAGTCAGGCTAACTCACTATTTTTTTTATTTCCTTACCTTTCTGTTGTCAAGTTAACATTTTAATAAAAAGTAGAAATTTCCCAGCCAACAAGCATGGACCTTTTCAAGATAATCATATATTTTTTTAACAAATAGCCTCTTCTTTCTCAGAAAGTTTCAGTGTTCAGGGCCGTTGGTTGAGAAGAATTCAGGTACAGCCTTTACCATCCAATGTTTACTATTGTTAGACTATTGCTGGGCCTGTGACAGGAAGCCACACGTTTTTCTATGACAATTTCTTTCTTCCCTTAACATCTCTGTTATCTTACGTCTCCCCTCCCTCTACTCATCCCACTTTATCCATTCCACTTGTCAGCCTGGAAAGATGTTCTGGTTATTGATAAAAATATTAGATATTACTGACTTTAAGGTATTTTAGTTAACAAACTATAATTACTTCTACATTAGTAATCTATGTTCAAAAATAAGAAATTTTTTATATAAATCCCTATTTCTATTTTGTATAGAAAAATATGAATAAAGCAACTTTGGAATATGTTTCTGCATAGCAATATTCCTCTCGAGTTGAAAGTCTGAAGTTTTCTTTCAATGGGACAGTTACTCTGATCTTCTTCAGAGTTTTCTTTTACCTGACTGGCCCTTTCGGGTATTTCAAATCTGATATTTATGTTTGAATAACAATCATGTTCATATTAAAGCTTTTTATTAGCTGTGCCTCATAAAATATCATGTAAGACATTGATATCCTGACATGACAGGGGCTTGTCATTTGGCTTATACATTATATGGAAAAATCTAGTCTCTGACACATAAATGTGGGACTTTATAACAACGGAGACCATAGCATTTGGTTATGATCTTTATATGATTGAATTTATTATCAATCGCTCTCTGGTTTAAATTATAAGTCCAAAATATCACTTGGATGTTCTTGGTGCATAAGGTCCCCAAATTCTTACTAACGATATCCAGCATCAGGTGTTCTTTTGCTTCCATTATGCAGCGTATAAACTTTTAAATGAAAACATTTTTTTTTTTATTGTTGCAACACAAGAAAAAAAGCTAAAAGACAAAGCAACTAAAAAACCAAAAGCATACACACAAAATCTTAGAACAGATGTTGATTTCATCAGTGTATTCACCAGCGGACCCTGTAGGAGTTGGGAAAGGCATCCCGTATATGCCTCATCATCAGGCTAGGTTGCAACTTTGCATGAATCTGAGGAGAGTAACACCATTGTAGGATAGCGATTTTGGAAGTGAAACCATAGAGTAAACAAAATGTATTTGATCTATTTTGAAAAAAACGTTATTGCACTGAGGAATAGATTTCAACAGATGATTGCTGAGACTCATTCTAACTTGAGGTGAAATTTGGTTTAGGAATGATGATTAGACTGTGGATGTATAAATGATTCAAATGCATATGATCATGTGTGTGTATATACAGACTATATGTGTGCTATGTATGTGTGTTTGTATATACCTATAAAAATAAAAATTCATCTTAGGATAATTATCATTGGAAATATTATCAGGACTAATTCCCTTATCAATGGGAATAAAATAGAGAACACCTCATCCATAGTTCAGAATACTGTTTTTTATTCATAATATAGTTAGGAGACGGAGGACTTTTCTTTTTAGAATATTAACATTGTGTCTTACTCATTTTTCCACATGTAAATTGATGGCTTCTTTTTTTTAATTAAATGATAGCTGTGTACATTTATGCAAACATGGGGTACAGTGTAGTATTTTCATATACAATTTGAAATATTTTCATCAAACTGGTTAACATAGACTTTGTGTCATTTACTTAGTTATTGTGTTAAAACATTTATACTCTAGTAATTCCATAACATATTGTCCTATTCCCTTAAATCATGGCTTTATAATGATTATTCCCAAGATTATTTAAACACATTGTTTGGAGAGAGTCGTTCTTTTTAGCATTTTTTGCACATCTTTTGACAGCTTTTGTTCCAGAATATCTTTTCAAATGTCCTGGAACCAGAGATTGAATTCCCTCCAGGGGAAAAAAAATGGAAGATTTGTTTCCTGACCAGCATAATAAAATGTCTCTCTAGGGAAAAGGTTGGACAAGTTTGCTAATAGCCGCTTAAGCTTGGGTGCTTACTACGCTTGGGGTTGCTCAGATGTGTCATATATCCACTGAGGATGCAGTGTCTACCCCGCCTGCTGTGAATCACCCTGCAGGACGTAGTGGGGGTGGTGAGGGCAAGCACACTGGTGAAATATGAAGCTCTTGCTGCCTACTGTACCATGAGTAATAGGCTTTGACTTTGACCCAGGAGTCTAATATTTTCTGACAGCATTTGTAAAACTGTGATAGGTTAACCGGTCTTAAAAATCTCAGCCCCTTCAGTTTTTGACACAAACAAAAGATAACATTAGATAATGAAGACAATAAATGGCTCTTCTAGGATCATCAGAATATGCATTGTTCCTGGCAGCAAAACTAAAATGGCAATTCCTTTAAGAATGACAAAACTATACTTTCGGGTCCATTTTACAAAGTGTTTCAAAACAAAATCTTTCTGATAGTTTTTCAATGGAGACTCTTTCTCCTTCCTCTGATCCCTTATAATGCTCTTATTCTCTCAACTTGGGATTTGTTACTTAATTGTAGCTCTACTATTAGACCATACATTACAGGGGGTAAGGCAGTGACTTATTCCTGTTTTTCTAATGCTTCCCTGATAGAATGTCTTTTATTATTTTTTTATTAATAGCTGTGTAATTAATGCAATCACAGGGTACAGTGTGGTGTTTTCATATACAATTTGAAATACTCATCAAATTGGTTCATGTAGCCTTCATGTCATTTTCTTAGTTATTAAGACATTCATACTCTGCTTTTAGAAAGATTCATTTGTACCCTTGTAAGATAAACCATAGAGGTGACCCCACCAATCAGGGAGAGGAGAGGGGAGGGGGGTGAATGCCTGATAGAATGTCTTAAATGGTCTCTGTTCATTCAATGTCTGTTGACTGACTTCTATCAATTCAATTTAACTTTATCACATCATCAATAAACTTGATCACTAAAGCAG